GTATGAGTCTGACTTGAATCGATAGTACTTAACAACAAGCATTTATTCTCTAGAGATCGTTTTTGATCTGTGATGTCTCTGGTAGGGATAGGCTTTGGAAAATACCAATGTGGAAATGGATCCTTAGATTTTCAGAAGTATTGAGTCTTCCGCTGCTTATACTTTTCCTGCCATTGAAGAACCAGTTTCTCTATAGCATCAGAAAAATATTCTATTACCAGACTTTTACCTCAATTGTGATACTGTTGTTGTTGTTATGTGCCGTGGAGTTGGTTCCTACTCATAGCGACCCTGGACAGGGTTTCCGAGGCTGAAAATCTTTACGGGAGCAGAACGCCTCATCTTTTTCCCGCGGAACAGCTGGTAGTTTCGAGTTGCTGACCTTGTGGTTTGCAGTCCGATTCGTAACTACTACGCTACCAGAGCTCCTTAACTGTGATACTACATACGCTAAAGTATGATAGTGACTTGTGATATTCTCTTGAAGTGAGTACTTAGCAAATAGCCAGAATTTGTAACATAAAAATTATTCTTTGCAAAAAAATAACAACACACAAAGTTTCACTTGAAAATATATCCTTTGAACTTCTGTTTTTTAGAAAATAGAATGCATTCCATTAATTATTGTTATTCCTGTTTTCTAGTTAGAAAAGAACGCCACTAGGAGTAATTTAGGAGGACTTAGTAATTTAGGAAACCTCATGTTCAGTTTGAACCTCAAGGTCAGTGGTTCGAATTAACCAATGCTCCTTGAAAACCCTATACAAGGTAGCTATGAGTCGTAAATCACTAACAACAATGGTAGTAGTAATTTACATTATCTCAAATAACAACAACCTTGAACTTACATTTTATTATTTATATTAGTAAACTGAAGCTGGAAGAAAGACAAAGAGTTCGGTGCTTTTGGTGGGTTTTCTGAAGTGAGGCTGTAACTTACATTGGCATTCATATGAGCAAAACTAGAGATTCATAGGATTACCTAATCTTTCTAATTTATTTCAAAGGCCACTGTGCTATAATCCCTGAAGAAACTTTGCAATCAAAGACAGAACTACTGGCAAACATTTCAACTGTAGCGACTAACCAAAGATTTTAAAAAGAACAAGAATTTCAAGCAAGGGCAGTCATTCTTTTATTTAACTTTAGATCCAATATTTAGCTCTGTCTTAGGTAAGGTTCCTTGGAACTAGATGTGGAAATTTTTGAGCAAGTAATTTATTGACAGAAAGCCCTCAGAAATAAAACCAAAAAACCGTAGGGAACTGAGGAAAGTAGAATAGGACGGTGAAAGAAGATGAGTAGAAATGTGGTCTCAGTTGACATCTAGCCTCATCATGACCCCTGGGGGAGCTCAGGTACATGAACTACAACACAAAAGGTGCCCACCCAGAAACAAGAGATTCACTTCCTTTATCCGTCAGTCATTGGGCAAGGGTCATGCTTGTCCAGAAGAAAGAGCTAATTGACTGGGCATCTTCAAACAGGGTGACTCTTCTCAGCCCTATTCAATCCTCTGGAAATGGTTACATTCCTGGGCCATTTACAGTCTCCCTCTGCAGCATCCCCAAATTGGATGTACCAGTTGCCAGATGCTGTCCGGTAGACGTCAACTCATGTTGACCCCGTGTGTGTCAGAGGAAAACTCTGCTTCATAGGGTTTTCAGTGACTGATGTTTCAGAAGTACGTCATCTTTATGGACCCCAAACTCCAACCTCTCAGTTCGCAGTTAAATGAATTTATCTTTTTCATTACCCAGGGATTCTGATAAGAAGATCTGGCAGCGCATCAACAGCACACGCCCCATGCCTGTACAAGTTGTACCCTCATACATGTGTGAGCCCTGCTTGGACACATCCCTCATTATAGTCAGAGTCTGATGAGGGTTTTGGTAGTTTCTTTTTGTCTGTCTGCAGAGGTTAAGTATAGTTGTTAGAGGTAGAAATCACTCTGGAAAATATATTCATGTCTATTCCTAGGCAAAGTCCGTGGTTCAAGCTCACCAGCTTCTCTTTGGAAACCCTATACAGGGTTGCTATGGGTTGGGATCGACTCGACAGCACTTAACAACAACAACAACATTCCTAAGCAAAGGAGCCCTGGTAGTTTAGTGGCCTACAAGCTGGGCTACTAATTGCAAGACCAGCAGTTCAAATCTACTAGTCCATCCTCAGAAGAAAGATCAGGCTTTCTGCTCCCACAAAGATTTACAGCCTTGGAAACCCTACAAAGGGTCACTATGAGTTCAAACCAATTTGATGGCATACTTTTCTGACTGCATAAAATATTCCTATAGCCCCACTTATTGCATACTACAACAAATAGCATGTAGAAAATTTCCAGAATAATGTTGACTGTTATCACAGAGGACAGAGAACGGTGTACCTATTGATCCTATGGGATATAATGTTTACAGTGTAATGAAGATCCTGGAAGTTTGTATTCTTATAGTAAGTCAATGTTCTTTAATTTTAACAATTTTCTCTTTTGCTCAATTAATTCACTATGTTCAATGAACTGAATATCATAGGCCAAAAATTTTACAAATCTACACAAAAATCAACGGTATAATCATTGATGTATATAATATGCTCTGAAGACATGTTTAAAATACTGAAACTTTGCAAATATCCAAATGTAAGGGATTGGAAACATAAATGATGTTGTTGTTAAATGCCATCAAGTTGGTTCCGACCCATAGCAACCCTGCATAGGGTTTCCGAGGAGCAGTTGGTGAGCTTGAACCACCAACCTTGCAGTTCAAACAGCTTTGCAGTCTGGCTCATTAACCCACAGTGCCACACCAGGATGTTAGTACTTATGGTAGCAAACTATGAAGTCATTAAAAGTCATATTAAACTAGTGAGGTATGTTCACCATGCAATGGTCAGCTATTCAAGATCAAAAAGAAAACATTTATTTACCTGGAGACAGAGTTCAGAGGGGCTGGGAAGGAGAGTGGAATGGAAACAACACAAGGAGGAACTGGGTAACTTATTACATGGTAGGCACTACAATCATTGAGATAAAACAAAGTGTGTGATGTGCTGGTTATGCAAAATTCATGATTTGCTTCAGTTAACCTTCACTCAGATTACAATGAAAAATTTCAGTAAACATAGTCATATTCTAGAAGAATATTTAATAATATGGAAAATATTTGTATTAAGTGAAAAGATAAGGTTAATATAGAGAATGTGAATATTCTTTCTTTTTTAAAAAAAAAAAAGAGTAATTGTATATTTCGTTGTTGTTGTTAAATGTCATCAAGTTGGTTCTGACTCATAGTGACCCTGTATAGGGTTTCCAAGGAGTGGCTGGTAGGTTTGAACTGCTGAACTTGAGGTTCAAACCGACCTTGTGCAATGCCACACCACGACGCAAATTGTATTTTAAGAAATACTATATACACTTTTCAGGTTCACAGTGGTTATTCTCTGAGTGACTTTGGTGTTTTATTTATTTATTTTGGGGTTTTGCTTGTCATTTTTATTTAAATATTTTTTCTATAAGAAGTGTGGGCTGCTTTTATAATAAGAAAAAGGTTATTTAATAATTGATATCAGCTTTAAATAGACACATTTTTAGTTCTCATTAGTGTGCCGCTATCAAGTTTTCCCTCACATTGAGAGTTCTCAATTTTCTCAATCATGTTTTTCCCACTAATTTTTCTTTTCATGACTATCCAAATGAAATGTAAAACAGTTAATTTCTATTAGTATTTTAATCTAGTATCATCCCTATAATTGCTAAATTACATTTCATTAAAGAAAAGTATTGCCAGTCTACCTACATAGGGTATTTATGCTCCATCTTTAATATTTCTAGACTCTTCCTTAATTATTCTTTGCATTGTGACATTTAATTTAATTACTTTGGAAATATACATATAAATAATACTATATGCAAGGAGCTCTGGTAGCACAGTGGTTACAAGTTGGACTGCTAACCTCAAGGACAACAGTTTGAAATTACCAGCTGCTTCACAGAAGAAAGATGAGGCTTTCTGGTC